GAAATTAATTCATACAAAGACAACTTCATTTTGATTTTAGGCATAAGATCACCATTTGATAGTGATAGTTATTTAATTATGATTTTTTTTTAACTTTCCATAATAACACTAGTGAGCTCAAATGCAAAAGCAGAAAAGTGCAAAAATAATTAATCAAATATAGTTAATTTTCTAGTCAGGATATTGTACTTGCAATCCTGTTGGTGCTATAAACTTGATTAACTAAAACATAATAGTTATTAACCTGTGTATGGTACATATACATTTGTACTTACCTGTGTATTTACTATTACATGTATTTACCTGTGTATTTACTATTACATGTATTTACCTGTGTATTTACTATTACATGCATTTACCTGTGTATTTACTAGTACATTTATTACCTGTGTATTTATTAGTACATTTATTTACCTGTGTATTAACTGGTACACGTATTACCTGTGTATCTGCTTGTACACGTATTACCTGTGTATTTACTGGTACATTTATTTACCTGTGTATTTACTGGTACATGTATTACCTGTGTATCTGCTTGTACATGTATTTACCTGTGTATTTACTAGTACATTTATTTACCTGTGTATTTACTGGTACACGTATTACCTGTGTATCTGCTTGTACATGTATTTACCTGTGTTTTTACTAGTACATTTATTTACCTGTGTATTTACTAGTATATGTATTTACCTGTGTATTTACTGGTACATGTATTACCTGTATATCTGCTTGTACATGTATTTACCTGTGTATTTACTGGTACATGTTTTACCTGTATATCTGCTAGTACATGTATTTACCTGTGTATTTACTGGTACATGTATTACCTGTATATCTGCTAGTACATGTATTTACCTGCAGGCAGGTATCAATGCATAGTTGTATTGCTCTAATACAGCTCACTAACTATCAAGATAGCATTTTAAAGTATTATGCAAAAATCTACTGACTGACAATATATAACAATATATTAAGTACTATATAGAGCTTACAGTTTTAAAAGTTATTTCATACTTAGATTTACTGGACTTGCAAAACAAATCCGCTAATAAGATGTTTATTTTCAGAAAGGAATTGTAATTCTTAAACTTGGTTAGGAAAGTTTCCTCATCAGCTATGAAACAATGTAACAAGTAAACTTTGATTTTGGTATTCAAGCCATAGAAATCTGCTCAAATTTTTCATTCTTCATAAAGAAAAACCCTACGTCTATAAAATACTAGGCATGCAAAATGAATCCTGTCGTTACGATACCCTGCAATGAAGTTAGAGTATTGGGGTGGTGGAATGTACTGGAATCAGGGTGTCTGGATGTCTGTCTATAGATAAACGTTTGTCAGGTACAGTGCTGCTGAACTTCTCAACCTGTTTATATAAAACATGGTATGCATGATCGCCACCTTAGGTTGTTGTGCATTTACCATTTGTTTTTTATCTTGATGATTTTCTTTGGAGCTATGGCCCTTTTCTGAGATCATTATCTGAAGTTCTCCTAAAAACTATAAAACTTCATACACATGATAATTACCCTAGGTAGTTGTGCACTTATGATTTATTTATGATAAATATATTTTGATAGCAGGTATACCCCTTCTGAAGTATCCATAACTGAATATTGACATAACAATTTTCTTCAGAGGGGCAGGGGCAGGGGGCTATTTATAGTTGGCATGTGTTCATTTTCTAGAATAGTGTGTTTAGAATTGAGGAGAAACTACATTTAAAGCTTCAATAAGATTCATCAGTTCGGAAATACATTAATATTACATTCAAAGCTGTTATTATTTTTTTATGAAAGTTTTACAAATAACTGGTGATCAGATATTCGTGATAATGTGCATACATTTTTGTAGAAATTGCGGGAAACCAAAATGTATCATCATGACATGATTAATAGGACACACATGTATATAAATAGCAGGAAACCAAACATTAAATGTATCACAACTGTGTGACATGACACACGTGACACAGGATTACTAGATGATCAGAGTTAATCATGTGACAGCATGGGAAGTTCTTACAATCGACATCATTGAAAGTAGATGGACTTCTAAGGGTGAAGTACCCAGGTATACATTTATATACTTCTAAGAGTGAAGTACCTAGGTCTACATTTATATACTTCTAAGGGTGAAGTACCCAGGGATACATTTATATACTTCTAGGGGTGAAGTACCCAGGAATACATTTATATACTTCTAGGGGTGAAGTACCCAGGTATACATTTATTTACTTCTAGGGGTGAAGTACCCAGGTATACATTTAAATACTTCTAGGGGTGAAGTACCCAGGTATACATTTATTTACTTCTAGGGGTGAAGTACCCAGGTATACATTTAAATACTTCTAAGGGTGAAGTACCCAGGTATACATACATTTATATACTTCTAAGAGTGAAGTACCCAGGTGTACATTTATATACTTCTAAGGGTGAAGTACCCAAGTATATGTATCACAACTGTGTGACATGACACACGTGACACAGGATTAATAGATGATCATAGTTGATCATGTGACAGCATGGGAAGTTCTTACAATCGACATCATTGAAAGTAGATGGACTTCTAAGGGTGAAGTACCCAGGTACATGTATACATTTATATACTTCTAAGGGTGAAGTACCCTAGTATACATTTATATACTTCTAAGGGTGAAGTACCTAAGTATACATTTATATACTTCTAGGGGTGAAGTACCCAGGAATACATTTATATACTTCTAGGGGTGAAGTACCCAGGTACACATTTATATACTCTAAGGATGAAGTACCCAGGGATACATTTATATACTTCTAGGGGTGAAGTACCCAGGTATACATTTATACACTCTAAGGATGAAGTACCCAGGTATACATTTATATACTTCTAAGGTTGAAGTACCCAGGTATACATTTATATACTTCTAAGAGTGAAGTACCCTAGTATACATTTATATACTTCTAGGGGTGAAGTACCCAGGTATACATTTATTTACTTCTAGGGGTGAAGTACCCAGGTATACATTTAAATACTTCTAAGGGTGACGTACCCAGGTATACATTTATATACTTCTAAGAGTGGAGTACCCAGGTATACATTTATATACTTCTAAGAGTGGAGTACCCAGGTATACATTTATATACTTCTAGGGGTGAAGTAACCAGGTATACATTTATATACTTCTAGGGGTGAAGTACCGAGGTATACATTTATATACTTCTAGGGGTGAAGTAACCAGGTATACATTTATATACTTCTAGGGGTGAAGTAACCAGGTATACATTTATATACTTCTAGGGGTGAAGTACCGAGGTATACATTTATATACTTCTAGGGGTGAAGTAACCAGGTATACATTTATATACTTCTAGGGGTGAAGTACCGAGGTATACATTTATATACTTCTAGGGGTGAAGTAACCAGGTATACATTTATATACTTCTAGGGGTGAAGTACCCACGTATACATTTATATACTTCTAGGGGTGAAGTACCCAGGTACACATTTATATACTCTAAGGATGAAGTACCCAGGTATACATTTATATACTTCTAGGGGGGAAGTACCCAGGTATACATTTAAATACTTCTAAGGGGGGAGTACCCAGGTATACATTTATATACTTCTAGGGGTGAAGTAACCAGGTATACATTTATATACTTCTAGGGGTGAAGTAACCAGGTATACATTTATATACTTCTAGGGGTGAAGTACCCAGGTACACATTTATATACTCTAAGGATGAAGTACCCAGGTATACATTTATATACTTCTAAGAGTGGAGTACCCAGGTATACATTTATATACTTCTAAGAGTGAAGTACCTAGGTATACATTTATATACTTCTAAGGGTGAAGTACCCACGTATACATTTATATACTTCTAGGGGTGAAGTACCGAGGTATACATTTATATACTTCTAGGGGTGAAGTACCGAGGTATACATTTATATACTTCTAGGGGTGAAGTACCCAGGAATACATTTATATACTTCTAGGGGTGAAGTACCCAGGAATACATTTATATACTTCTAGGGGTGAAGTACCCACGTATACATTTATATACTTCTAGGGGTGAAGTACCGAGGTATACATTTATATACTTCTAGGGGTGAAGTACCCAGGAATACATTTATATACTTCTAGGGGTGAAGTACCCAGGTATACATTTATATACTCTAAGGATGAAGTACCCAGGTATACATTTATATACTTCTAAGGGTGAAGTACCCAGGTATACATTTATATACTTCTAAGGGTGAAGTACCCAGGTATACATTAAAAAGGATTTGTTGTGTAGTATATAATGTTACATGTTGATGAAACTTTAATTATTGATGTGATTTTTATTTATATGTCTGCAATGTTTTATTTGTGATAATGTATACAATCAATTTCATGTATATTTACAGTTATTAATTTATAAATCCATCACAAGGCCTGCCCTGCTCCATGGCAGTGCTCTGATAAGAAATCCAGTGGACCATTATTTTCAGTGTTGATATAAATATTAAGAGCGTAGCTTCGGCGCCCGACCGAAGCTCTTTAATGGTAACACATGCATGCCTAAATAGAGTTGCTTCCTCTTGTTACACATTGCCTTTAATTGCATTAAACCATTAGGTCAATGTGTACATTTAGTTTTTCATCATCTAAAATTTCATCATTTTTTATTTCTATTTGTTGAGAATATGAACGATCGAAATATTTAACATTTTTGAAAGTCTGGTGATAGTTAGTGTTTACATAAAAATTTTATGCACCACCACTCATAAAGGAAACAATAGATAATGCATTTATGTCGAAACGACCAATAATTTTCCAGACACCCCAGTTCAACACCTTTTTACATCAAAATATTACGTTTCCTTTTCTTTTTTTTTTTTTTTTTTTTTAACTTACATCTGTATACATTTACTTAGACTAATCATCAAATATGTAATTTGCACTTTTTTTCTATAGCAATTACCAAACAGTTTTTCCCAAGTTATCTCAATCATTCTTTTTGTGCCCTGACAGAAGCATGCAGAGAATTTCATTCTTAATGTGGGTGGAAACTGGAGTCACCAGAGAAAACCCGCGTGGTCAGCCCGGGCTGGTGACCGGGATTGAATCTGGCTATCTTGGTGAAGACGAGCGCACTATCCACTGTGCCAACCGTCCCATCATATAGGTTACACACAAGAACAAATATCTACTTTAGCTTTAATTATCAGAAAATGACATCATTGATGCAAAAATCATATTGTGAATACATTTTTACCAAGCATCAATGATACAAAAAATCTACCTACGGGAGACCGGGAAAATTTGGCCTCCCCTGATATTTTTGTTTTTTGAGCGCATATTTACAACTTTAAAGATCTTAGCGATCTTTCTGTAAACGGAAGTTGCTACCTTTTTACTATCAAATGTGTAACACACTGACAGCTTCAAATGATATACACAACAGCCAAGCCAGGCACTCATTACCATATTGCTGTACGATAAGAATTTATTGAAATATCAATTTGGGCAACAGGCTCGGCCAATGATACTGTGGCAAGTTCGGCCCATGTAACACACAAAAGTCGTAAAATTGGCGGTAAAATTCGACATTGCATGCTTTATGGCATCATAATTAAGCTGAAGCTGATGCCAATGGGGGCCGAACTTACCCAAATGCCTGTCCGAACTTACCCCATGGCGGAGCTCGTTCAGCCATCCAATCTCCCGACAGGAAAAGTTAAATAATGTTTAAAAAACGGAGGTGCTGCCATACTCCCCAGAACGGGCTTTAATAAAAATAGGCCGAACTTGCCCCGGTCTCCCCTATTGTTGTCGGTCTTAATCTCACTAGAGCTTGTGTTTTATTTTCAAAGTTTATCTTATCTCATTATGAAAGCAGTATTCTGAATCAGTAAATATCAGAGATCAACAAAAGCTACACTCTTTTAAGGCTTTGCCTTTTCATATTAAGTATTAATGTAGACGTACACCAAACTGCCATTTCCTGATGTTCTGTGGTATGTGCTAACAATTTTAAATCGGAAATTGGACAACGCTTGATAGCCTTCCCTTGTTGTATTTTTCAAAAAATATATGTTATTTCTTTTACAAGAATTCATCAGAAAAAATTCTGAAAATTTCTGAATTTGAAGTCTGAAAGGAATGAGGGCATGCAAAAGATTTGTAACAATTTAATCACAAATACATCTTACAATGCTTTAACACTTTTTCTCTTAATTATCTCAAACAGTATGAAATAAGCTGAAATAGCAATTAATGTATATAATTTTTTATCTAATGTCCTATTTCATGTATGTACATACATTAGATAACTGCACAGTAGAAGATATTTTCTGACAAAGGGAGGTAATCTGGTAGCTAGCTAATACAATTTATGTACTTGGAAAAACGTTCTAAATTGGTAATTGTTTAAGTTGCTAGGTTGACTCATTTTTAGATTTTAATGTTTCTTAGTTCTTCAAATTTAAAATTATCTTATATGTTCTTAATAATTTGACTATCATATATAGAACTATATATTTTTATTATGTAGGAATACATGTACTTGGATTTTAACAGGCCAAATCTTTTCTAGTTCACTCCTTTTAAAAAAAGTTTTTTCTTGGACCAAAAAAAACAACATGGGACAATAATATTATAGTAAACCTGTCAGAAAATTTGTTTTGACCACTTTTCAAAAATTGTGTATTCCTTAACAATTGTGGATATTGAATTTCAATAGAAGAAAACAATTTTGGCTGTTCAAAGGAAGTATATTTTAGCAAAGGTACATAGCATACGGGTGATTTGACTGGTAATGATATCACTGACATGTCAGTCTCATGGAAAACATATTATATTGTCGTAAATATTGCCAGTAAAACTGAAATTGTGACGCTATAATCAAAATATGCTACTGTTAATCTCAAAACACATTTAGGGGTTTCCCATCTATGACAGCTTTTTATGACTGTGATGATAAATACCAACATGACATAGTAATTTATTGGTTAAAGAACTTGTCCGACCACATGTTTTATCTATATTTAATCAGATGTTATCCGTGTTCGTATCTTAAATTATAGGCTCATTAGGAGGCCACCACATATCTATTATGTATTATATATATGTTACTGCACAGTGTCTTATAAATGTTTCTGGTCATGATTTCACTGATTTTAGTCTAAACTTTCAATATATTAAACAATTGTTGGCTTTCATCATTCGAATATATATTGAATAGTCTATCTATATGAGGACAAGATCCACACCAAGTCTGTAGAAGGGAGCATTAAGTGATATCTTGTTATGACTATATGAATATTATGAAATAAATATTTTATGAAATGCGTTAACAGAAATTTTGCTGTTTTTTTAAAGCCTGCGTTTTATTAAGTCACCTTGTTCATCTGTCAATATTTGTTTAGTTAATCGGTATGCAACAGAGGTAATTATTTTTTCATTGTCTCTGTAGGGATTGAACCCAGGACCTCTGGGTTACTTGTTCGATGCTTTTCCAAATGAGGTAAAAAGAAATTTTCCAAGCCAAGTCGATAGGAGGTGGCTAGTATCTTACCAATCACATACTCCTCCTCCAGGATAAAGCTTGTCCTGAGTGTCCTCAGGGAAAACAGTGATGCTTGTGAGAGCAAGGCTGAGTATTTTTGTCAATATTTCCTGGGTCCCTACTTGGGCACTAACGTAATAGATAGTCATTATTAGCTTACCGGGTCCGAAGGACCAAGGTGAGCTTATGCCATACCGTGCTGTCCGTCCGTCAGCAATTTCTTTAAACGACTTCTTCTTCTTAACCACTGATTGGAATTTAAATAAATTTGACTGGAAGCATCCCTAGGTGGTGGGGATTCAAAATTGTACAAATGGTGGGGCTGACCCCCCACCCAGGGAGCTGAGGGGCAGGGCCAAAAGGGGGCAATTTGGCTATATTGCTTTAAGCGACTTCTTCTCTAGAACTAAAAGAGACATATCAGCCATATTGACTGGAAGCATCCGAAGGTAGTAGATATTTAAAATTGTACAAATGGTTGGGCTGCCCCCCTCCCCAGGGGGCTGAGCCAAAAGGAGGCAAATTGGCTATTTTGCTACAAACGACTTCTTCTGTAGAACTATGCATTGAATATAAATCAAATTTAAACAAAAGCATTCATGGGAGGCAGGGATTCAAAATTGTATAAATAGTGTGGCTGACCCCCAGTAGGCTTACTGGCGGGGCCAAAAAGGGCTATTTTGCTACATTGCTTTAAGCGACTTCTTCTCTGGAACTAAAAGATGGATATCAACCATATTTGATTGGGAGCATCCCTAGGTGGTGGGGATTCAAAATTGTACAAATGGTTGGGCTGACTCCCCAGGGGGCTGAGGGGCGGGGCCAAAAGGGGGCAATATTGCTATAAACGACTTCTTCTGTAGAACTATGCCATGGATATCGATCATATTTGGTCAGAGGCATTCATGGGAGGCAGGGATTCAAAATTGTATAAATGGTGTGGCTGACCCCCCAGGGGGCTTAAGGGCGGGGCCAAAAAGGGCTATTTTGCTACATATTTGGTCAGAGGCATTCATGGGAGGCAGGGATTAAAAATGGTGGGGCTGACCCCCAGGGGTTAGGCCAAAAATATGTATTACTTGGAAATGGTTGAGATCCCCACCGTATAATCATATATACAATTACTGAGTATAAAGAGAAGAATGCAGATTTGCTTCCAGGATGGCTCTATGGTCTGGCCCCACCCTTGGAGACATAGTCCCTGGGTCATAACTAATTGAAACGGTTGAGATCCCCACCCCAGAACTATATATACAAATACTGGGCATAAAGAGATGAATGCAGTCATGATATTAGAATAGACCCTGGGGACCTAGTTTCTTAGTCACAGCTTGGAAACAGTTGAGATCCCCACCCTATAACCATATATACAATTGCTGAGTACAAAGAGATGAATGCACAAATGCTTCCAGGATGGCCTTGGGGTCTGCCCAGCTGTCTCCAGATTTAAAAATGTTTATATGTGAATTTTGATATATTTTAATTAGGTTCTAGTTCTTAACATTTTTAAGAACTGTAACATGTGGTAAAACTGGTTACTGTAATGTTAGGGAATTCTCCCTGGATGCCTACAGCATCTGGTATCAGGAGGTAGACAATATCTAAGGTAGTTGGATCAAAGAAAGCAATGAATTTCTCTCACTCCTGTGCATATGACGGAACAGTCCAGGGAAAGAAAGGGATGCATGAAATTTGAAATTTCTATCTTCACCCCACTGCATGTGCGTGATGTCACAATGGGACCATTAACCTAATGTCACAAAATCTGGAACATTTCGATGCCTACTCTTTCATGCCCAGGCCTAGGGAACACCTGGGATGTCGGATAGGGAAATTCAAATTTTCAAATTGGTTTATAATCCTTGGCAAGCATCTGGTTTTACCCATTTTGAAAACCCCTTGGATGGAATTTCCCTATTCTACTTCCCTTGGCATGAAAAAGTCTTACTGTGAAATTTAAAGTGAAAAGCATGTAGTTCCAAAATATACCTTGATAGTATAAATAAGACAAATACATCTCATTGCTTTTGTCATCTTTAATGTAACAATTTCTGTTAGTTTGATTAACAACATTCAACAAATTTTCCAATTGTCTTCAAATCTTCATAAAGCTTTACGCAACAGAAACAAAACGAGGGAGACTTCCTCTATACAAATACGTACTGTATAACATGAAATGTTGGCTGTGTATAGACGCTCGGGGTTTGAACCAAAATAAAAAAGATTTAATTAATATACCCGACTGCTGTTTTTTTTATCATCCAAAAAAGTTTGTATTATGAAGCGATTTAAATATGTTTTAATCACAAAGGAAAGGACCCACACATTTCATGTTATACAGTATATTTAACAGTGTCAGACCACAAACTACTCTTCTTCTACCCGCTTTCTTCTTTCCTTTGAATAGCCTTGTTCCCACACATTTCATGTTATACATTATATTTAACAGTGTCGGACCACAAACTACTTGTCTTCTCTACCCGATTTCTTCTTTCCTTTGAACAGCCTCGTTCCCTCGTACCCACACATTTCATGTTATACAGTATATTTAACAGTGTCAGATCACAAACTACTCGTCTTCTCTACCCGCTTTCTTCTTTCCTTTGTACAAAACGGCATTTTATCAACAAAAATATTGAAATTCAATCATAAGGAAACAGAAATTTTGTATCAAATCATGTTATCAAAATATACTGCCCTGAATAAAAACTGTAATCTCGCCGTGTCTGTGTTGGATGGAAACTTCACTTTTATAATTTTGAGTTACATCTTATGCTCACAAACACTGAAATAGTAAACTGGTGTCACTTATGATATTTTCTTTCAGATATATAGATATATATTAAGTTTACACTTTTATAAGAGTGCCAATGAAACTGATTGCTTATAATCAATTGGAGGAATTTAAAGTTTACTAATACTCCAATAAATTTGTAAATTGAGACTGAAAAATGGACATAGAATAAATATGCATCTTCATTAATATCAATAAATTATAGTTTAAAAAAAAAAAATGTCAATATAGCAAACACATTAGCCTTAATGTAGAGTGCATTGAATTGCCAACATGTATAAAAGTAGTACAACTATGTTAAATTTCACCCCGGGAATTTGAAATCCATACAGTTGTATGGACACTAATTACTATATATAGCATACAGAGGGAACCACTTCGTGTGTTTATGTTGTGAAGATTTTAACTCATTCACCCCTGAAGACATTTGAACTTTTCCAATTCAAAGGTTGGAATAGTTCATTATGAAATTTCAGGGGTGTATGATTAGGAAAAGTTCTTTTTACACAACCAATGAGAGTTCTTATTGGTTGTGTAAAAAGGATTTTTCATAATCCATACTTACCAATCCAAAGAAAATGTTTAGAAATGTCAGGGGTAAACGAGATAAATTGGTGTAGTTCTTCAAAACAAATTATTGTTTATTTCCTTTTTGTGTGCAGTATTCAAACTATCAACTTTCCACTGTAAGGTGATATCATACCAAACCATCTTTCCTAGTGACACATGGTCTTTCCATTAAAACAGACACGACAGACCACAGTTGACTAATTTACTTGGACCATAGTCAGTATAGTCTGGTTATATAAGTGATAATAGCAGCCTTATGAGTCGTCGTCTTTAGTTGACTTTGTAAATGACTCGAGTTCAGATAAACAATCATAAAACAACTGGTTACAAATCTCTCTGCTGTAATAACAGTAATTAGTGAGGACATTTATGTAAGGATAAGATCTATCCTACAAGGAGTATACAATCTGTGCTACACTCAGTGACCCAGTCTTTGTAGAAGTAGCAATGAAATAAACCATTCGATTTCACTGTCTAACGTGCAAGAAAAACATCAGACTGTCAAACACAAAACAATTCGTCAGTATAACAGACAGGACAAAACATTAGCGAACCAAGTACCTGACAAAACATGTGAAACTGACGACGCTGACAGAATACAGCAAATGGTTCATACACTCAAAGGTTACTTGTTCAATAACTTGAATACAAATGTCAAAACGTGCTGGACAAATTAATTATACTTTGTCTGAGCACCACATGATATATAGTCGTCACCTAAATCTACAAAACAAATCTCTGATCTAGTAAGTACTGTACACACACAAATAAAAACATGTGTTAAGTTTAAACATAAACAGTTAGATCTCGAATATTTGTCAATACACATAAAAAGTTACCACACTCTAAAACAGGAACCAAGGAAACCCCCAAATCTTGGTAAAGGCTGAAAACAGTAAACAACTCAAACCCAGATCAAAGGGTAAAGCAGTGCTGTAGCAGTGTAACTTACTCAGTAAACAAGATGAGCATTTCTCTTTTCATTTAACATTGAGCATTATATTGTTGAACTTCAATTTTGTGATTCTCTTATTTACTAAAATTTCAATATAAATGTGGTTGTTTACAAAAGAAATCAACACATGCAAAACGACTTTGTAAACTTTATATAATCAAAAATATAACAGCTCAGAGTCCATCAAAACAGATTCAAAGTCAGTCAAACCAAACAGATACACTGTATTCTTCAGCGGAGATAGTATAAATCTCCTACACAAAACGTCACAAAAATTTATTGGTCAGCCTTTGTCAGTTTTTTATAACTTACAATTTAAAAAAATAAATAAAAATATTCAATAAAAATTAGTGTCGTTGAAACATGTATTGTTCACTTTGAGTTTTTTTTTACATATACAACAATTGTAGCTAAGGACTGGGATAAATTAACAAAGACAATGAGAGGACAAACAAATCAGGACAACAAAATAAGACCATAACAGACAAGGACAAATATAAAAGACAAACAGCAGACAAAGACGTAGGAAAAAGGTGATAAAAAGTGCAAATCATATTAAATGTAGTAGACAAACAACAGACATTTACAAAAAAAAAAAAAAAAAAAAAGGAAANAAAGACAAAGGATCATTGCAGACAAATATATGGGGAAACAGCTACCAGGGAAAAAAGACAAAGCATAACAAACAAAACAATAATAATAAATGATATAACATAAATACCAGACAAATATGTAGGACAAATTAAGAAAAGGATAAAAAAAATCAAATTAATTGTAAACAAAACATCCAAATGAAGGGGATTTGACTAAATAATGACAGTCATACAATGTCATCTACAGTCATACAATATCATCTACAGTCATACAATGTCATCTACAGTCATACAATATCATCTACAGTCATACAATGTCATCATCTACAGTCAAACAATGTCATCTACAGTCAAACAATGTCATCAACTTAAGTCATACAATGTCATCTAGTCATACAATGTCATCTACAGTCATACAATGTCATCAACTTAAGTCATACAAAGTCATCAATGTAAGACATACAATGTCATCTACAGTCATACAATGTCATCTTTAGTCATACAATGTCATCTACAGTCATACAATGTCATCAACTTAAGTCATACAAAGTCATCAATGTAAGTCATACAATGTCATCAACTTAAGTCCTACAATGTCATCAACTTAAGTCATACAATGTCATCAAGTACAGTCATACAATGTCATCATCTAGTCATACAATGTCATCATCTAGTCATACAATGTCATCACCAGGTCATACAATGTCATCAAGTCATATAATGTCATCACCAAGTCATACAATGTCATCAACTTAAGTCCTACAATGTCATCAACTTAAGTCATACAATGTCATCATCTAGTCATACAATGTCATCATCTAGTCATACAATGTCATCAACTAAAGACATACAATGTCATCACCAGGTCATACAATGTCATCACCAAGTCATACAATGTCATCACCAAGTCATACAATGTCATCAACAAGTCATACAATGTCATCAACTACACAGTCATACAATGTCATCACCGAGTCATACAATGTCATCATTTTTAAACTTTGTAAGTCAATCAACTGTATCTTTACATGTACTCTTACGATTACATAAGTAGTTTGTGAATAATACATAAAATAACAACAAACGAAAAACCAATGTTACTGAAATGCAAAATGGAATGAGGAATCGAAACATCTATGTCTCTTAAAACATTAAAATGATTCACATGTACAAGCAAGCCACACTTACTCAGCCACCACCTATCTAGGTATAGCACTATACCACCTGAGTTTAATGGGACAGATAGTGGCCTTCCCAAGTTGTTCTTACATTCATGTCTCAAAATCCTGTCATTAGGTCATTAACACCTGAAACATGACTATAATATATTTGTTCTCACTCTTATATCAGAAATACCTTGAGCACTGGAAAAAAAATGCAAAGGCATTACACAAAAAATTTTTTTTTTTAAACAAATTGAATAATATATACATTTGTGTCGCACAAATAAGGAAACAGAATAAATGAATTGTTGATAAAATCAAAAAAAAATGATAACAATCTATAAACTTTGAACTTGATTAATATACTTAACACCTATATACACAGGATTTTCTTAACTTGTTTAATCGTGCCAACTTCTAGTTAAGCTACTACAGCTGACTTTGCAAGTATCTTCTATTGAAATCTCCAGTATCTACTATTAAAACCTCTAGTATCTACCATTGAAATCTCCAGTATCTACTATTGAAATCTCCAGTATCTACCTTTGGCACCTCTAGTATCTTTTATTGAAACCTCTAGTATCTACTATTGAAATCTCCAGTAACTACCATTGACACCTCTAGTATCTTTTATTGAAACCTCTAGTATCTACTATTGAAATCTCCAGTATCTACCATTGACACCTCTAGTATCTTTTATTGAAACCTCTAGTATCTACTATTGAAATCTCCAGTATCTACTATTGAAACCTCTAGTATATACCATTGAAATCTCCAGTATCTACCATTGAAACCTCTAGTATCTACCATTGAAATCTCCAGTATCTACCATTGGCACCTCTTGTATCTTTTATTGAAATCTCTAGTATCTACCATTGACACCTCTAGTATCTACCATTGACACCTCCAGTATCTACTATTGAAATCTCCAGTATCTACCATTGAAACCTCTAGTATCTACCATTGAAATCTCCAGTATCTACCATTGGCACCTCTTGTATCTTTTATTGAAACCTCTAGTATCTACCATTGACACCTCTAGTATCTACCATTGACACCTACAGTATCTACTATTGAAATCTCCAGTATCTCCCATTGAAACCTCTAGTATCTACCATTGAAATCTCCAGTATCTACCATTGAAACCTCTAGTATATACCATTGAAATCTCCAGTATCTACCATTGGCACCTCTAGTATCTACCATTGAAATCTCCAGTATCTACTATTGAAACCTCTAGTATCTACTATTGAAATCTCCAGTATCTACAATTGACACCTCTAGTTTCTACTATTAAAATCTCAAGTAACTACTTTTGAAATCTCCAGTGTTTACTATTGACACTTCCAGTATCTACTATTGATGCCTCTAGTATCTACTATTGACACCTCCAGTATCTACCATTGACACCTCTACTATCTACTATTGACACCTCTAGTATCTACTAATGACACCTCAAATATCTACCATTGACACCTCCATTATCTACTATTGACACCTCAAGTATCTACTATTGAGAACCTCAAGTATCTACCATTGACACCTCCATTATCTATTATTGACACCTCAAGTATCTACCATTGACACCTCAAGTATCTACTATTGAGAACCTTAAGAATCTACCACTCACAACTTCAGTATCTACCTTTGACACCTCCAGTATCAACCTTTGACACCTCTAGTATCTATTATTGACACCTCAAGTATCTACCATTGACACCTCCAGTATCTACCATTGACACCTCAAGTATCTACTATTGAAAACCTCAAGTATCTACCTTTGACACCTCCATTATCTACTATTGACACCTCTAGTAACTACTACTCACACCTCAAGTATCTACCATTGACACCTCCAGTATCTACTATTGAGAACCTTAAGAATCTACCACTCACACCTCCAGTATCTACCTTTAACACCTCCAGTATCAACCTTTGACACCTCTAGTATCTACCTTTGACACCTCCATTATCTACTATTGACACCTCTAGTAACTACTACTCACACCTCAAGTATCTACCATTGACACCTCCAGCATCTACCATTGACACCTCTAGTATCTACTATTGACACCTCAAGTATCTACCACTGACACCTCCAGTATCAACCTTTGACACCTCAAGTATCTACCATTGAAAACCTCAAGTATCTACCATTGACACCTCCAGTATCTACCTTTGACACCTCAATTATCTACCATTTACACCTCAAGTATCTACCATTGACACCTCTAGTATCTACCATTGACACCTCTAGTATCTACCATTGACACCTCAAGTGTCTACTATTGACACCTCCAGTATCTACCATTGACACCTCAAGTATCTACTATTGACACCTCCAGTATCTACTATTGACACCTCTAGTATCTACTATTGACACCTCCAGTATCAACCTTTGACACTTCAAGTATCTACCATTGACACCTCAAGTATCTACTATTGACACCTCCAGTATCTACTATTGACACCTCTAGTATCTACTATTGACACCTCCAGTATCTACCACTGACACCTCTATTACCTACTATTGACACCTCTAGTAACTACTACTCACACCTCCAGTATCAACTTTTGACACCTCAAGTATCTACCATTGACACCTCCAATATCTACTATTGACACCTTCAATGCTTGGTGTTGAAAGCATTATTGTTAGAGGATTGACGCTGTCCCACAAGCTTACTCTTAAGTAAACTATAAATAGTATAATATATACACATAAAAAATAAGTGAAATGGAGGATCACAGACCACTTAGTGTTTTTTCTTCTTGCAATATTTCTACCTTGACTACGAGGTAAACATGATAATGGTGGGTAAAACACTACCAGGTAACAAGGATAATGGTGGGTAAAAAGGGTTTAACATATAACATTCATATGATTAGTCTACAAAAAATGACTGAGAGCCCTCACACATTGTATTTAAACACAGAGTGGCCACCAGATGACTGTACAGCCCTTGGCTAGTCTATCCCTTGCAACCACATCCACATTTAAGCCGGTCAAGGAAATTTCAAACTAGGGTTTGCTAATGACAGTCAAATCAGGATTCCTTAGATTTGATTTTTGACAGCTACAACCTGTAGCCTGGGATTCATACTCATAGCCACACCCTGAGACCCTGATGTGACAGCAACATTCCAGAGCCAGGAAGTCACAACCAAACCCGTTCCCAGGGCCAAGAAGTAACAGTCGCGCCCAAGGGCCAGGAAGTGAAAATCAAATCCTTGGTGCTGAAAGTAAAAGTCACTACTGGGGTCTGGACATCACAGCCTCATCCAAGGCCAGGACTACAGGTCTTTCCTGCCCTCAGCTGTTTTGTAGCACTTTTTTATTGGTCTCTGTGTTGATTGACTTTTCATACTCTCGAATGTCATCAAAGCTCAGGTCTGTAACATAATATTATACCAAACCATCAAACATCAGAAATAGCATTACAGACAATATCAATAATGAGAAAAATATTGAACAATAATATGTGTGTAAAGACTTTCAGAGGAAAGACTTGAGCTTAGCCTATTGGTACTATACACAATATAATTTATATATTGGTACTGTACACAACATAATTTATATATTGGTACTGTATACAATACAATTTATATATTGGTACTGTATACAATACAATTTATATATTGATACTGCACACAACATAATTTATATATTGGTACTGTATACAATATACTTTATATATTGGTACTGTATACAATATACTTTATATATTGGTACTGTATACAATACAATTTATATATTGGTACTGTACACAATATAATATATATATTGGTACTGTATACAATATACTTTATATATTGGTACTGTATACAATACAATTTATATATTGGTACTGTTTACAATATACTTTATATATTGGAACTGTATACAATATAATTTATATATTGGTACTGTATACAATATAATTTATATACTGGTAATGTATAGAGAATATACTTTATATATTGGTACTGTATAAAATATAATTTATATACTGGTACTCTATTCAACATACTTTATATATTGGTACTATATAAAATATACTTTATATATTGGTACTGTATACAATATAATTTAAATACTGGTAATGTATAGAATATACTTTATATATTGGTACTATATAAAATATACTTTATATATTGGTACTGTATACAATATAATTTAAATACTGGTAATGTATAGAATATACTTTATATATTGGTACTGTATAAAATATACTTTATATATTGGTACTGTATACAATATAATTTAAATACTGGTAATGTATAGAATATACTTTATATATTGGTACTATATAAAATATACTTTATATATTGGTACTGTATACAATATAATTTAAATACTGGTAATGTATAGAATATACTTTATATATTGGTACT